AGAAGACCCCAGAACGGCCCAAGACGGCGGCCCCAAGAGGGTGAACTTGAGCTGACATGTCGAGCCTTCCCCCCGAGATGGCCCGAAAGACCCCCAACATACCCCCAAGAGGCCCCAAGCATCCAACAGGCCCTAAAAATTAGCCTGGCGAAGGACCCAACCATATGCAGTTGTGAGTAATGCTGGTGTGAGTACCGTCTTCGGTGGATCTCCCTATGGGGCCACGAACCGTGTGAGGGGTGTGCCGAAATGGGTGTGGGGGCGCATGCGAACCCAGTCACTGGGGCCTTCGGTGGAGCTCCCTATGGGGCCACGAAACGTGTGAGGGGTGTGCCGAAGTTGGTGTGGGGGCGGCATGCGAACACAGCCACTGGGGCCTTCGGTGGAGCTCCCTGTGGGGCCACGAAACGTGTGAGGGGTGTGCCGAAATTGGTGTGGGGGCGGCTTGCGAACGCAACCACTGGGGCCTTCGGTGGAGCTCCCTATGGTGCCACGAAACGTGTGAGGGGTGTGCCGAAATGGGTGGTGGGGAGGCATGCGGACCCTGTCACCGGGGCGTTCAGTGGAAATCCCCATGGGGCCACGAAGCGTGTGAGGGATGTGCCGAAATGGGTGTTGGGGAGGCATACGAACCAGGCCACTGGGGCCTTCGGTGGAGCTCCCTATGGGGCCACGAAACGTGTGAGGGGTGTGCCGAAATGGGTGGTGGGAGGCATGCGAACGCAGCCACTGGGGCCTTCGGTGGAGCTCCCTATGGGGCCACGAAACGTGTGAGGGGTGTGCCGAAATGGGTGGTGGGGAGGCATGCGAACCCTGCCGGTGGAGCTCCGTATGGGGCCACGAAACGTGTGAGGGGTGAGCCGAAATGGGTGGTGGGGAGGCATGCGGACCCTGCCACTGGGGCCTTCGGTGGAGCTCCCTATGGGGCCACGAAGCGTGTGAGGGGTGTGCCGAAATGGGTGGTGGGGAGGCATGCGGACCCTGCCACTGGGGCCTTCGGTGGAGCTCCCTATGGGGCCACGAACCTGTGAGGGGTGTGCCGACTGGGTGGTGGGGGGGCATGCGCCCTGCCCACTGGGGCCTTCGGTGGGATCTCCTATGGGGCCCACGAAAGTGGAGGGGTGTGCCAGAAATGTGTATGTGGGGATGCATGCGGGACCCTGCCACTGGGGCCTTCGGTGGAGCCCCCTACGGGGCCACGAAACGTACGAGGGGTGTGCCGAAATGGGTGTGCGGGACGCATGCGGGCACACCCACTGGGGCCTTCGGTGGAGCTCCCTATGGGGCCACGAAACGTGTGAGGGGTGTGCCGAAATGTGTGGTGGGGAGGCATGCGAACGCAGCCACTGGGGCCTTCGGTGGAGCTGCCTATGGGGCCACGAAACGTGTGAGGGGTGTGCCGAAATGGTTGGTGGGAGGCATGTGCGGACCCTGCCACTGGGGCCTTCGTGGAGCTCCCTATGGCCATGAAACGTGGTGAGGGTGTGCCCGAAATGGGTGGTGGGGAGGCATGCGGGACCCTCCACTTGGGGCCTTCGTGGAGCTCCCTATGGTGCCACGAAGCGTGTGAGGGGTGTGCCGAAATTGGGTGGTGGGGGAGGGCATGCGGACCTGGCCACTGGGGCCTTTCGGTGGAGCTCCCTAGGGGGCCCACGAAAACGTGTGATGGGATGATGGACATCGTGGTGATGATGATGATAATGATGATGATTGAGTGATGATGATGATGATGATGAGGATGGAATGATGATGATGATGATTTTTTATGATGATGATGATGATGCTGATGATGATGATGATGATGGTGATGATGATGAATGATGCTGGGAGGAGGGAGGGGGGGGGGGAGGGTAAGAGGAACGCGGGGCACCGTCTCTTCAAAACGAGGACCCAACACCACAGGATGGTTGGGAATATACCCATGACGGCCCAAGACGGCCGCGGCCGCAGTCGCCGCCCCGCCCGCGGCGGGTCGCCTGCGCCAGCGTAGCGCGGGCCGCGGCCGCCCCTGGCGCGCCCGGCGCCAGCGCCGCCAGGCGCACCGTCGGCGGCGGCGCGGCGCCTGCGGCCTGCAGCGGCCCAGCGGCAGCACGACGGCCGCGGCGGGTCTGCAGGCGATGACGCGGCGACGGCGGCCACCGCCGCGGCGGTGGCGCGGCGGTGGTGCGGCGAGGGCCGCCCTGCAGGCCGGCGCGGCGATGGCGCGGATGTGGCGGACATCGCAACGGCGGCGATCGGGCGGGAATGGCAAGGGCGGCGCCCGCGGCGGCCACGGCGGCGGCCGCGGCGGCGGCCACGGGCGGCCCCGGGGTCCCGAACCCGTTCCCAACAGCACCCCGTTCCACCATGCCAGGGTCGTCCAGAGCTCGATTGTTGCAAGGGGCGAGGTCGTAATCGCGGGCAGCACGGAACGCCAAACTGGGAAGGCCGGGGTCTTCCAGGCAGGGATCGGATCGGGCCAGTCTTGGAGGTTGCCGATGAAGAACGCCTCGCGGATGACGGCCGATCCTTTCTGGGAGGCCCCGTGACTTTTTGGAAGGCCGCGTCCATCTCCGCACCCCGTCTGGCGCGTCGTCGATGGCAATCAGAGGAAGTCTCTGGAGGTCCCCATGGAAGCCCCCGCAAGCTTCTGAAGATCTCTTGAAGTCCGGGCGAGGCCTCCAGATCTACAGAATAGGCCTAACATACCTACAGGACCACCGTTCGGGTGATATGGAGGCTCGTGGGGGTGAGGGGAACCAACGTCTCATCCAATCGAACTCGCGTCGATCAAACTCTTGATCTCGCAACAGATCTCGCAATTTCAAGTGATCTCTCTATCGATGTCGCAATCGACCTCACGATCGATATCGCGATCGGTACCACTATCGATTCTCAATCAAACCCAATATCATTATCACAAGCGATTTCACTATCGATCTCACAGCAAATCTCAATACATATATATATATATATAGGTATATATCCTGGCCGATGATCTTTTCCTTCGAACGTATTAGAATATCCCCCCACCACGGGGTAAACGGTCCGTATTGCATGTTTCATGCGATTTTGCCCCATCTCCCATCCGAAATAGGAACTCTTACCATCTCAGGCAGTCCGGACTTTCGCCCCCCCCCCCCCCCCCCCTTCATCTTGTACAAAACACATTTTGCGCGCGCGTTCGGTTATAACAAATCAGCCGTTGTCAAACATCCTTTGCAACAAAGAGGGAAGAAGTGCGCATGCGCGCGCCGTCGTGCGTGCATGTCGAAATCATTCAACAACCTCAGGTTCAATATAAATCGAGCGTCGCGAAAACATGCAAACACATATGGTGTCGCAACAAGAATGTTCAAACACAGTTTGCGCTCGCGCTCTTGCGGATTCTCAAGACAAACCACGCGTTGTTCAACGTTTGCATAACATGCTTCCAAGTTCGCCTCTCGCGCACGCGTCGAACATTGTTCGAACGGCCTTTGCGCGCATGCTGTCGCATGAACACCTGGCACAAATACGGCAGAAGTGCGCGCGCGTCGTCGCGCGCGCATGCCGGAATCTGTCAAAAGCCTTGGTTCTACAATGCATTCAAAACCGAAGGTCAAGCAACCATAGAACCATGGTGTTGCAACACCAATTTTCAAAGCTTCGGTGTTCCAACATGTGCATCAACTTCTGCCAAACGGGCCTTTTGCGCCGCAGGTCGAACTCATTCGAACGCCTTGCGCGCGTGCTGGGGGGTGGGGGGGGTGGGGAGCACGATCCGTGTGAAATTATACCACGCGGGCCCTTCGCGCGCGTCGGCCGCGCGCGCATGCCGAACTCTTCAAAAACCGTCACCGCTGACGCGATAACATCGTCATTGTTATCGGTGGGCGTGATCAACATCGGCGCCGTCATTGGCCTTGCCGTTGCCATCGCCACCGTCGCCACCATCATCGCTACTCTCATAATCGCGTCTACCGTTGTCGACGTCGCCATGATACCGCGCCCGCCCAAGTCACCGACTCGCAGTGAAGTGCCCGCTGGGAATTGCCCAACAACGGTCACCGCCACCGCGGCCGCGGCGGTCGCGCCAGTCTAGCTGGCCGCTGTGCGCGCGAGCATGCGCGGGCTAGCACGTCCGCGGAGATGCACCAGCCAACACCAAGCACTCATCGCAATCGCCGCCGCATGGGTTTGCAAACAAAGCTGCGGGTGGGTGAATGGGATGTTTGCAAAGGCGTGGAATATGTCAATTCACTTCTAAACATCAATCTTAGCATAGATCTGACAGTCGAACTCACGATCGATCTCACATTCGGACTCACGATCGATCTCACAACAGGTTTCACTATCGATCTTACGATCGATTTCACAATCGATGCCACCACATATCTAACTGTCGGTCTCACAATCGATCTCACAATCAATCGCACAAACGGTCTAAGTATCGATTTCACTGTCGATCCCACTACTAGACCTCACGATCGATCTCTCAATTGATCTCACAACACATCGCACTATCGATCTCACAATCGATCCCACTATCGATTTGACAATCGAATTCACAATCAATATCACAAACGATCTCATGATCGATCACACCACCAATCTCACAATCGATTTCTCCATCGATCTGACAATCGAACTCACTATCGACTTCACATTTGGACCCAGTGTCGATCTCGCAACAGTTCTCACCATCGGTCTCACTGTCGATCTCACAATCGATCTCACAACAGATCTCACAATCGATCTCACTACCGATCGCACTACCGATCTCACCGCCGCGCCACCGACGGGACACCGCCGCGCCACCGACGGGACACCTCGCGCCACAGACGGGACACCGCCGCGCCACCGACGGGACACCGCCGCGCTACCGACGGGACACCCCTGGCCACCGCGCGCCGGGGCGGGGGGGGTTGGGCGGACAACCGGCTCCACAGCCCTTGGCCACGGCGGCATCATTTCTTTCGCGCGCCCGCGCAACTTCGCCCTCGCCTTTCACGCACGACACGAACACGAAACCGAAACCGATTTGACGTGGGGGGCTCTCCGTTCCACTGCGACCGCACCCCCTCACCTCCGATTTTTGGATGCTCTCGTGAAGGGGCTTCGCGAACATGCGGCCCTCACTTGTCGTCGCCGGAAGCCATGGCCTTCTTCAGTCGGTTGATTGTTGCCCTCGTTGTGGCCGCCGCCGTTGTGGAGATAGCCCAGCAGCCGCCCGCGATCGTCTTCCTGCACTGCTTGGACTTGCACTTCCATATGCCACCCGCGACCCTCTTCACGTTCTCCTTTCACGGGCAAAAGACATATCCGTGTCCATATCCGTGCCCTCGCGGGTTGGATTTGGATATGGATCCTATGGATATGCAATCCCGTGGATACATTCTGTGCGGGCCATTTGCGCAAGGGTGCCCGTGTATCCATGGAGTCGCGGCCGAGGAGTCTGGACCGCGAGGCCTTGGATATGGATACGTTTCCCTCCGACGGCTCCTTGCCGCAGAAATTGCACATGTACTTCGTGCGCTGCTGGATCTCATAACGCTTCACGATCTTCCTCAACGAAGCGCCGTAGCGCGTGCCGTACTTGCCAGTGATGCCGACCTTCTTGGTGTGCTTGGCCATCGCCGCCGCGCTGACGACACCAGGGCACTGGACCCTATTGCGTGGCGCTTGTGCTGCAATCCTGAGCCAAAATGGCTTCGCAGGAGGATGACAACAAGGGCACTCTGGGTTTCTTATCAAGCGTGGGGGGTCCCCCCCCGACGAGGGTAAACCTCGCCTCGTCGTCGCGCCGCGACGAGAGTCGGAGCGCCTCCGGCGCGCGGTGGCTACCCGCGACGGGGGTCGATGTGGGGCTGTCGGCGGGGGTGACGCCCCCCCGACGCTGATTAAGAAACTCGGAGTAAGGAGAAGAGGAAAGGGGCTTCGACGTTTCCCGCCACTTCACCTCGGGCACCCTGGAGAGCGTGCGTCGCCACGGCCAGATCCGCCCCGAAGGTCCTGGCCGAGCCACGCCCCAGGACGGTTCCAGGTTGGAGGCCTAGAAATGGGCACCAACACCAACACAGGGGGTTGCCTCCACATGGGGAAGACGATCCTAGATTTCTGTGTTGGTGGCAATATTTCGGCCACCTTGGAAGCCAGAATATTACCACCATCACCGAGATCGGGATCTTCTTCCCTCGGTAGATGCACACCGCCGTTATTGGGGTTGGTGTCAATCTCTGGGCCTGCGACCAGGGGCCCGGCTCTCAACAGGAAGGAGGGGGGGTGCCTCCCCACACGTCCGTCGCAGCGACAAGAGAACGACGGGGGGGTCCTTCAGGAGCTCCCATTCTGGGGGACTCGACCCGGGAAAGGCGGGAAGGGCCCCTCCCCTCCTCCTCCTCCTCCTCCTCCTCCTCCTGCTCCTCCTCCTATCCTGACGCCTCCTCATCCTCCTACCTACCTCAGAGTGGGGGCCGAACGGTCACACTTTTTTCTGTCTCATCTGACTCCAAATCACTAATCTTATCTAATCTCACATATTTGTCAAGATCGACTGCCTTCGGGAAGGTGTAAAGATTGGTATTGACGCTCACACCCGTTTGGATGGAGTCAGGCGGAAAATTGCTCGAAGTTGCCTGACATCGGGATTCTGATGGCCACGCTAGGCGCGGAGGGCCAAATACGCAGCAAATACGAGTGCATATGTACAGTACCGCTCGACTTGTGATGAATAAACATAGCGAGAAGGATGCCTCGACAGCCTGCAAGCGTGAGATCGCGCAGTCTCTCCTTCCCCAACGGTCACATATGTTGTTGTGGATTCTGGCCCGCGACCTCCCCGCGACCCTTGCCTAACGCATAGCGCACACGCTCGAGCCACGCTCGGACAAAGCATGGCCCCGACCAAGCCTGAGATGGAGGCCGCGCGCAGTGATCGGCCTCTCTGAAACAAACACTGCGTCCGACGGTGCGTCGTCGGACTGCACGGCGGGCGCGTGGCTCATCCCAGAACGCGGGCGCCCAGCGTGCGCGGGAAGACAGAGGCCATCGGGCGAGCTGGTCCTCCTCCTCCTCCGCCTCCTCCCTCCCTCCCTCCC